GAGCCGAGCCCAGCCGAGCGCGGCCATGTTCGCGCGGGCGCTGCGGGTGCGGGGCCACACGGCCATCAAGGGCTCGGAGCGGTGAGTGCGGGGCGGCGCGGGGCCGTGGCGCTTCCTCCTCCCCGCCCCGCTGCCATGGGGCCGGTTGTTCCCACAGGGAACTGAAAAAAAATCCCCATTGCCGGAGAAAAAAAAAAATAGAAAAAATTGCCTGAAAACTGCCCCCTTGTAGAAGCGGGACGGGACGGGACGGGACGGGGCGAGCAGAGGACTGGGTTGGGGGAGCCCTGCGCCCTGTTACGAGTCAGGATCCCCGTGATGATATTAACCCCAGCGGTCAATATCTGCCCGTCGGTGGCGGAGGCAGGTGCACTTGGTCACCTTACTTATAGCCCTCCGCAAAGTTGAGTGCCCACCGACGCAGGGCCGCGAACACGGGCCAGGCGCTCGCTGCAGGAGCCAGCCGCATCCCGATGGCATCTCCCCCTCTGGGAAGCAAGTCGGGGTGGCCCCCGTGTCCCAGCTGGTGTTTGCAAAGTGATTTTTGGGAATGAAGACAGTAACCCAAAATGAGATTGCTGCTCATTCGTGGCTGCCACTGTCAAAAGGGGCTGGGGAAAAACCCACCCAGAGAGGTGGGTGGCTCTCCGTGAGCCGCCTAGAGAGCGTTGTACTTACCGTGTTCACCACTTGTCTCTACAGGAGAAAACTGCGGGCTGATGTGGCTGCGGCTTTCCCCAGCCTCAGCGCGGAGCAGCTGTGCGAGCTGGTCCCGCACAAAGAGGAGCTCAACGTAGTCAAAGTGTACTCTCACAGGGGAGATGCCATCACAGTGTACACCCACAGCAGGAACCCGGTCCTTTTTGAAAGGGAGAGAGCCCTGTATCCAACCGGTATGAGATGGAGCAGGGACCAGCTTCCCTTCTCCTCCTCGTTCTCTGTCTGGCCCAGGTACCTAGATGGCCCCAATCCCCACCCACCTGAGCACCTTTGCTTCCTAACCCTGTTATGCCCTTGGTGCGCTGTGAGGGCTCGTAGAGATGGGGCATTGAGCCCCAGAGAGGCTAAGTGACTTGCCCGGAGTTGCACAGAAAGTTTGTGGCAGAACAGGAAATTGAACCCATGCCCCCAGCACCAAGGTGAGCTTCCTAGCCACTAGACTATCCTTTTCTGGCCCAGTAAGGTTCACGTGTGTGTGGGCTTAAGGTTCTCAGCTACCCGGGCTGCCAGGTTCAGCTCCCCATACATGGAGCCCCTTGTGCAAAAGGCTGAGTAGCCCGCATAAAATACGGCTCTTTCAGGATTTTTCTCTGCCTAGCCAGAGCCTCTCCCGGCTTGGTGCATCAGTTCCTCTCAAAGCCACCTTTGTTCAAACAGAGACTATTAAGATCTCCTTCTCCTGAAAGCCCACTGGAAGATTGAAGATGAAACACTACCGTTTCATTGCTGTTGCTGCAAGCATCAGCTGGCTGAGGGGACATGGTAGCTCTGGTTCCTGGCTTTTTGTTCAGCTGGCTGCCAGAAACATCTCTCATTGCACTCGGGGAGGTGTGTTACAGGGGTTTAAAGAGAGTAAGAAGCAAGATCTAGAGAGATCTTCAGTGACATGCTTTGACAACCTGTTTATTTTTTGGGTTTTTTGATTCAGTGTATACTCTGTGGTCTTACCCAGATCTTCTCCCTGCCTTCTCAACATGGCCCCCCGTCCTACAGAAGTTGGCAGGAGGAGCAGGTAAGCAGATCAAGACTCACTCACATTGCATGACCCATGTTGGTTGCCTTGGGGACTTGACCCTTCTGGATTAGGCCTTTTTTTGGTTCACTCACTCTTCCTGCGCAGGACAGGATCTATTTGAGACAAAAAGCAGAGATGCTGACTATCCAACAAAGCTGCAAATAGTTTAGGATAGTGAAAGTCCTCAAACCTGAACCCCATTGGAGTCTACATGCTGCCCACGTAGATGTTTGTGTGCAAGTGGGGTTGCCTTTTTGTGCCTGGACTTGGGTGGAAATGGGCACCGCGACAGTACTTTAGTCCCTCTGCTTTAGGTGCCTGCTGGGGAAAGTGAATTCCATGGGTGTGTGACCAGGCCACTGCTGCTGACTTGTAGTGACATGGTCTGTGTGGAGATGGGGAAGGAAGCCAATTAAAGTAGGGGTGCAGGTCACCGGTTCCCTTGACAACAGGGTGGCCTCTGCCAACCTCTGAGCCGAGGCGTAGATAGGGGACCTAGGAGACAGTAGTCACCAAAGGCAGAGGGGTTGGGTAGATGCAGAATGCACAATGAAGCTTTATGGTAGCACAGAGCCTGGAACCTGGGACCAAGATGATATAGTAAGGTCAGTGCTTGGCTCAGGTTAATCGGATACCAGCCCAGCCGTAGAGCTCTGGGGTCTGTGTTTATCATTGGGACATGCTACTTAATTTGTCATATGGTCTTAGGACTTTTAAATGACTGCCTTTCTTGCCCAGGGATGTGGCCCACATATCTGCGTTGCATACAGGTTGCAATATAAGCTTTGCTGAGAGTAGCTGTAAGTGCAAAGGGGAGTTTAAAATGAGTTAGCATATAAATAAATATCCACAACTCGGGGAAGGACCTGGAGTACCACTCAGAATTGGACCTGAATCCAACTGCTGGGCCCCCAAGCACTAGGTCTGTCTCTGTCCTCTGTTAATATCCAGGGCTTCAAAGGATGGCATCCCTTCCTGCTGTACAAGTGGCAGAGACATTCCTTCCTTCTTAGTTTGTGTGTCAGTCAGCCTATTTCCAGAGATGGACAGCAAGAATACACCCTGTCCTGCACTTATTGTTGATGTCAAAGACTGGCAAGCAGGGAGTTAATACTGCGTCCTCTTGCAGAGGAAAGTCCGCAGCGGAGTGCCGTAAGTGCAGATAAAGTCTAGTTAGCAAGACTAGCTCAGCAGGGCAAGTGGGGCAGTTACCTCTGCCTGTTTTCAGGGAGATAGGCCGAGACTGGCTTGTGGGAGCAGCCAAAACCTGTGTGGTGGGACATGGTGGAAGGAAGAGAGGTTAGATGGAAACCCACCTCTTTATATTAGCAACCCAGGTTGGTTGTGGAATCTCCATCCAAGACCTGGCGACAGCCTTGGCTGGGATGATCTAGCTGGGGACAGTCCTGCTTTCAGCAGGGCACTGGACTAGATGTGACCTCCTGAGGTCTCTTCCAACCCTTGTTTTCTATGAAAATACAGGCACAGGGTATGGCTGCACACAAGCACTGTGCTTTGGCTAACTCCATGAAATGGCCAGGCAGACAGAAGACCTGGACAATGAATGAGGTACTGGACAGGGCTCTCAGGAGGGCTTGGGAAGCCCTTTTTTAATCCCCTTGGAGCAGCATTTCCAGTGCCTGCATGGAGACCCAGAAGGGAGAAGCCCAGGTTGGGTGGGTGGCTATTTATTCCGATCCATGACAATGCAGAGGTATTTGGTGACAGGGATCGTCCTCCCCATGGAGCGTGTCATGTCCCAGATGATGCTCACAACTCCAAGGGGCCTTGCTTTTACGAGCTGGGTTGTCTGAGCCTCTGGGTCTAGGGCACCTTGGTTTTAGTGGAGGTCATATTGAAGATGTGTCCATCTCCCTCCACTGCATTCTCTTTAGGTTGCTATGCTTACATATTTCATCCTGCCATGTGCAATATAACTGATAATTGCTCCTCAGTTACTGGCAGCTCTTACCTTTTTGATACTGGCTTGTAGTTTGTTTGTTTAGCTCAGATTCTGGCTGGTCTTGCCAATCAGTCGGTTTTTCACGCTTCTCAGCAAGTACTACCTCAGCTCTGAGCCTTAGCTTGGCACGCAGCAATGGTAGGTGGGCAGAATATATGCTTTGCTGCATTTATCTGGTGCTTAGGATGAGAGACTGGGAGACGAACTTCTTGGATACTGGGGGAGTAACATCTAATGGCTTAGAATGGGAAAGTGCGAGAGCAAGGACAGCCAGGCTTATGTCTGTGGCTGTAGAGGGGAATGGTATAATAGAACAGGGTCTAAGTCAGGACTCCTGGGTTCTGGGCTGTGCTTGGGAAAAATCTTGCATGAAACAGAGTCTGGCATAGGAATAAAAACAGAAAAAAACTCTGTTAAAATGTTCATACAGGGAAACAGAAATTGTTCATTAACAATTTCAAATGAATTGGAAGTCTTGTGCTATGGTTGTATTTTAAAGGGAAATGCATGACATTTCCAGTCTGCACTGACGTGTGAAGAGTTGGAGTGGAGAATTGGGAGAACTGAGAAATGTGCTTGGCAGCTGGGTTTTCTGCTAGAGCCCAGACTCTTTGGGTGCAGCGAGGAGAGACAGAGTACCTGCCCCACCTGGTAGCAAACTGTACTTCCTACCTACTTATCCACTGGTTCTGTAATTCTTCCCTGGCAGTTACCTCTTCCAACCAAAGCCAGTGCACCCTTTAGAAATCATCCTGTGTAGGGCTGAGCCTTTCAGCTCCCCCTGCTAGCCTTCATAATTTGGGGTGCTTAACAAAAATTGGGCCCTTGTAGTTCTTGGGAAGAGCAGCGTTCAGACTTGAATAGTGGAGATGCACAGAAGAGCGCGTCTTACCTGAGGTGCACTCTGCTGTGGCTGGGATTGTATTTTTTTGCTGAGCAGCAGAAGGGATGGGGGTGGAAGAGGCGGCTGGATCTCGCCTCACCGGCTTTCAAATGTTCCTTGAAGCAGGATGGATGCTAATGGCTGTTTACTCTTCACCGTAGATCTCATGCTGCCAGGAGTGCTGGTGCCATCATGTGGGCTCCCTCAGGTACAGCAGGGCACCCTCTGTGCCATTACCCTCGTGGGGAACAGGTACAGCTCCTCCAGGATTTCTCTGTAGCGCTAATGGCAAAAGAAAAATCTGTAACAGAAATTCACTACTTGCTTTGGGAAAAGCAGATACATTTTGCACGTCTGAAGCAATGTCTACATTTGCTAACTTAAAAGACTTTTCCTCTCAAACTGGGATGGTTTTGTAGCACCCCATAAATTAATCCCCTCCTAAGGAGAAGGGAGCTGGGTAGATGGCTTGATTGGTAGAAAAAATGTTAAAAGGCAGATACTTGAGTATCTCTGGGAGAAGATCCCTAATGGAAGTGAGTAAAAGTAGAAAGCCTTCACAGGACTTAGAGTTATCAGGTGTAAAGAACAGAGTCACGGTAAAACTACTTCAGATGAACAATTAGCCTCTGTTGTAAAAATCTAACGCATTAATGGCTCGGCTACTCCTTGTTCCAAGTAGCATGAATATTTTGCTCTATCCTGTTCTGATCGTATCTTCTCCCTCACACCTCCCTCCCCCTTCCCCAGAGCCCCAGTCGCAGTAGGAGTTGCCACCATGTCCACTGCAGAGATGCTGGCTGCTGGAATGAAAGGCAAAGGCTTCACTGTGCTGCATACTTACATGGATCACTTATGGTGAGTACAGGGATGAGGGTGCAGTGAAAATAAGGTGAGAGCAGGAGGTGTGGCCATCTGAGCACTGGAACCAAGCTACTCCTGGAACCAAAGGTTCAGATCTCGGAGTCAGTATTGGCAGCCCAGGCACGCTGGGTTCCGTGGGATGTAGGGGCATATTCTGGACTTCAGAGGTCTGGGCTGATCTCCAGATCTAGAGTTGATGCCACAGCAATTCTGACAGATAGGGGCTTGCCATTATGTCCCTTGAGCCCGTGCACACACATCATGCTGGGACTTAATTCCTCTCTGGTGAAACTCTTGAGCCCAAAGCCATTAGGAAAGGGATTGAATGGGCCCATTATTGTTACGTTGCCTTACAACTGCCTTTTTGCACCTTTTAATACATGGCATGCTGGCTGTGTCTAAATCTTGACTCCTACTTTGCCTAGACAGTGCTTTCATTGCTGGGATTTTCTGTAATTCCTGCCACAGCCTTGTTACAAAGGGTGTGTCCTGCTGAAAGAAGCAACTGTTGTTTTAACTCTTATCCACAGAGATACTTTGGGTATTTTTCCTCATTAAAATCCCTCCGTGTGTTCAACTAGCTTGTTTTCAGAGCTCAAAGCCTGCAAAAATGTTTTCTGGTCAGTGCCTCAAGGGAATTAGCTTTGCAACGCACCGACTCCTGTTTTTTTCCAGTGACCTGCAACACCCATTGGAAAAAAAAACAAACGAGTCACAGCTCCCCTGGTTCCATCTGTGAGCGTTGCAGTTTCCGCTGCGGTCTGTTTGGGGATCTCTGGAGGAAAGGGACTTTTTGTTTTTCCAAATACCTTTCAGGCCTTTAGAATAGACCAGGCTTATAAGAGAAGCTGCTTATCCAGTATGTGGATAAGCATCTCTTAGGGAAGATGGCAGGGGTTAGGCATATGGCATATTCTGAATCTCTTTAAGAGGGTAGGACTGGGTGGCTTTTGAGATGGTTTTCAGACCTACAGTTCAGTCAGCCTCACACATTGCACCTGTTCTCTGGTCTGGTGTGAATCTAGCTCTCTAAAGGCAAAGGATTTTTTTTTGCCTGCATCAACCCAGGGTCAAATTATAAGACTTGAGCAATCAGTGAAAGGGAGACTAGTTATTTACCTTTGGGACTGCAGCTTCCCTCCTCCCCTGGCTCCTGTTCTGCAGAGAGCAGCCTCAGCAAAAAGGATTTGCAATTGCAATCGCATCTAGGAGCCTTGGTGAAATGAATTGAATGTGGGAGTGTCTCACTCCCAGCCCCTTAAGTGCAGGAACTCACAGCACAAAACATCCATCCCAGCACTGCCTGTGTTTGCAGTGACAAGGAGGCCAAGAACTAAGCAGTTTTCTTGACTCTTGTAGACATTGGGTCTGATCAGACTTGGGAAAAAACGTAGGGAAAGACAAGTGTACCACAGGCATTGTGCTATCCTTGTTCTGTGGACACACGAAGGATTCCAGCCTCCTGCACCATCAAGCTGGTGACTATCCTGAGCACTTATTTCACCAGAAATGGTTCTAATAAATGAGTCTGAATCTGCACTGGGGATAACAAGTGTAGGCAGCTCTGCACTTACCAGTTATGAACACATGTACCTGAGGGGGGTCCTGCTGATGGGATGGCTAGCAGGATTTGTATGTGGTGTTATAAGATCAAAAAACAATCAACACTTGAAGAACAAACCGTGAAAGACATAACAGGCTCTGGCTGATCTTATTGAATGCAAGCTCAAGTGGCTCGGTGGGTACTTGCAGACTTAGAGTCAGCAAAGGCCTAACAAGTTCTAATGGCTGGAAGTAGGGTGTAGGATGCAGATGTTTCAAGGAGAGGGTAACAAACCCATGGACCAGCTTGCCTAGGGACAAGGCAGGTCCTGTAGCACTGGAATTGGAGACCAGATGCCTTTCTGCAGGAGATATTTTTGTTTTGCCATGGGGAAGGTGGGAGGAGCTAGATAAAAGTCTCTGGCCTGAGCCAGGAATTCAGTAGATCATGTTTGGCTAAACAGTCACATGCACAGTCCTAAGCATTTGGTCAGCGTACTTACCTGGGCGAGCTCCGGGAGTTGCCAACCCTTGCTTGCTGGCTGGCTGGCTGGAGCAGACTGCGGGCACTGGCCACCATGCCCAAGTGGCTGAACCCTTAAGTACCATTTCCTTGATGATCGCTCTCACCTGTGTCTCTACGCCTGGGACCAACTCTAACCAGTGTCATGGAAACTTCAGGGGTGAGGGTTGCTTACTGCAATCACTTGTGCTGTTACCTGTTCTGAGGCCATGGATCTTTCTCCTTCTATCCCTTCCAACATGGGTTGCTTGACCTTAGCTAACATCGAGAGAAATACAAAGCACACAGGATAATTCCAGGTTTGGGCACAGCTGCTCTTTTCTGTCTCTACAGCTGGGGTTATGCAGGAAGTGAGACTGGAGGACCGCAGTGTCCCTGGCCATAAACTACGTAGCCAGGGAACCATGTACAGCTTGGAGGGTGGGGATGTGAGTAGGATCCGTGATCTGTATGTAACAGCTATGCGGGAGTTATCTACCACTCACCACAACCTTCACTGTTGGACACCTCAGTGCTATGGTGGGGGGAAAACCATCCTGTATCAAAGCAGTAAAGAAACACGAGGAAAACTGCTTCATGTTTCCTGTTCGCTTCTAAAAGGGGCTTTGGAGACAAGGCTTACCCACCCACAATAGCTCCTCTGGTAGCGGATCCTGCAGAGGTGGAGAACGCTGACCAGGAAGATGGTGACAAGGAGGAGGAGGAGGAACAGGAGCTTGACCACAACCTTCCTGCAGACCCAGCAACGCAAACGGACGTCAGCAGTCTGAGCCTTCAGGAGGGAAATGGTTGCATGCAGCTGACAGAAAAGGAGGCAGCACGTGACAATGATGCTGTGGATACAGCGGAGGATGAGAACTTGGAGGCTCAGACAGATGCTGAGGGCAGCCGGACGCCAAGAGGTACTTCTGCATGGGAGTCAATGAGCTGTGTGTTTCAAATGAACCACCTGGGCAAGGGGATAGCAATCCAGACAAGGATGTTTTGGGAAACACTCCCTGTTTAACACTGCATAGAAGGGCTCAGCAATAAGCATGGCAGACATGCACCGAATTGAGCCTATGGCACACTAAAGAGGATTGCATTTAAAACAGATCCACTCGGTTCTGCTTCCTAGTCATCTGGATAATGTGCTGGAGTGGGAGGGAAGCACGCTCAGCCTTACTTGAGGATAATCATGGGCTAAAAAGAGGTTAAATGACTTTCCCAAAGCCACAGAGAGGAGGCTGTATCAGGATGGCTTTAGACTATTTAAAGTGTTTGTCTCCCAGTCTTGCTGGGTGGATGCTGATTTAACTTAATGTACAACCTGAGTGTAAGAATAAATGGCAACCTGAGGTTCAGACGAATGAGAACCCTTTCTAGTGAGTTCTGCTTTATGCATCTCTCTTGCTTTTCTGGCCCCATAAACAGTATTTCCCCCCTCTGCAGAGCAAATGGATGAATTGTTTCAGCAGTGTTTTTTCCACGCTTTGAAATGCAAAGTGAAGAAGTCAGAACTCCCCCTGCTGACCAGCACATTTCTGCGAAACCACATGTTCTCCTGCTGGTACGTGGTAAGACGCCTGCCCTCGGGGTGGCATGAAGTGTTTCTGGGTTTTAATTGAAATTACTGAGAGGCTGTAAAATACGCTGGGTGTAGCTTCGGTCTCTCGCAGAAAATTCAGTTCTCTAGGGCTGGATAGGCATTAAAGGTTTTTTAAACAATTTGATTGCCATTCAGATCAAGCTAGCTGACGTTTGCATGTGCTAGTCAGGATGCTCCACCTGTGCGTGTTCCAAGAGTGTGGCTATAATTTTCTCCCTACAAGTTCTTAATGCTCCACTATAGACATGCTGTATCTGTGAGGGCCCTGTGCAGAGGAAAAGCTCCCTGTGTTGTGCCTTCCTGCTGGAATGCCAGCATTGATTAGCACAACTTCACCATCACCCAAAAATACAGAGGTCTATAATTGGCTTTCCCATGTGCAATCTATAGCCAGGCTGTTAAGAAGGGTTTATCATGCCCGTTCTTAAACTGTTTGACATTGCTGAAAATGTTTTGTCCCGATTCCTGCTTTTTTTTTTTTTTTTAAATCAATAGCCCAGAAGGACAACAACTGGACATAAAGAAATCAAGCTACAAAAAGGTGAGACTTTTCAACATGTATTTAAATGAGGCTAGGGGAGAAATAAGCTTTCAGTGGGTTCTTAAATTCTACAAAAAAGATGTTCAGAGGCTGCACGTAAAGAACTTGTGCCAATGCCACAAATTATATTCTGTCAACACTGGTTTAGTATTGACTGTACTGAAGTTACCAGCACAGGCTTCCTGGCCCAGGTATAAAAGAAAAAAAATCAGACAGGACTTGTAGTATCTGGTTGTGGTCCTCCTGAGGTCTGGCTGCCTTTATATATATATATAATATATATATGCTTACCACAGGAGAAGGGAGTCCTTGCCCTAAAGCTCAAAGCAAATAGGTGGCTAGGAGAGCTGAAGTGATTAGCTCCAGAAGGTCACAAATCAAAGCAATGGCAGAGCTGGTCGTGGAAGTCTTGAAAACTTAAAACTTGCTCTAAATATTACATTGAAGGAAGCGAAGAGGGTCTTCTTTGGTTTTTTTGCAATTTGATCCTTTTCATCAAACTTGTCTGACTTGTGGAGAAAACCATGTGGGTCCTAAACCAGAGACTGTGGCCTGGGTTGGTTAGCAGGATGAAAACACACATTTCCAGATGTCTGACCAATGTTTCCTTCAGTTCTCCAAGTTCTTGCAGTGCATGCAGCAGAAGAACATCCTGCAAGTGAAGGAGCTGAACAAAGGCGTGGAGAGCATAGTGGGCGTAGACTGGAAGCACCCAGAGTAAGTTCAGATGAACTCGTAGTGACATAAAATCATATGGATCCTTTAATTCCTTATTAATTGAATCTCATCTTTTTCATTATTCTGCCCAGAATCGATATCAGGCTAACCAGCTTTTTGGTATCAAGGCCATCTCACTTGCCCTTTTTGACTATCAGTGCAGCATTATAGCAGTCTCCTGGAATTTCTCCAATATTTTAAGATTTTCTCTAAAAATCAATCAATCAATCAATAACAACCAACTATTTTAGGACTTTGTGGTGAAAACAGTGTGGCTGCTGATTTTTAAATGTTTGTTCCTAGTAGATACTGTTTAGTCTCCGTTGTTACTAAAGAACTGGAAAATATCTAATCCACCTCCTGAGTTACAAACATGCCACCTTGTTTCTTTTTAAATATAGATACAAATAATTCCACACACATACTTCCTGTATCAATAACAACAATTTTGCTTTCTCCTTTTAATAATGAGCTTTATATCATTACTAGTATTTTTGGCCATATTGTATCTTTCTTAATGTCTTTATTTTTTTCAGTCACAGACTTTTCCCTTCAGATCTTTAACTTTCCTTATTCATTTTCTACATATCATAATTTGTGACTTATGTTGCTATCTAGCTATTCCTTTTCCCTTTTAATACCAATTGCTTTTTATTTTTTACTTGCTGTCTTCACTTTGCCACTGAATCCAGCTGATATTTTTTAGGCAAACAATTCTTCTCTCTGGGTAACGAAATAGAGGTTCTCTCAGCCAAGTTATAAGATTTTCTTGAAGAACAAGCTTTCTTTCAGGGTTTTTATCTAAGATTTTTCTTCCCAGTTAGTTCTAGCTCTTAATCTTCCTCCTCTCTGGGAAATGAGCTGTTTTGAAGCACCAAATAATGGTATGGGTGGTTGGGACTTACCTCTTTATCCTTAGAGAAAGTAATTGGGTCATCACCAACAGCTAGATAATTCCCAGCTTCCAGTCTTGCAATTCATTTGTCTTTGTCTGTCAAAATGATGTCCAAAATAACCACCTGGGTTTGGGCACATTGCTGCTTGGGTTAGAAAACCACCACACACACTATTCAGAAATACTCGTGACTATACACACCTTCTAGTCTATCTCCCAAAACAAAGTGGCCCATAGCACATTTTTTTTCTCTTTTTGCCCCTTAAATGGGTGCTTAAGGAACACTTTAGCCAGGTGTCTAGCTTGGGAGCAGTGGGTTCTTACATTTCCCATCCAGCATTGTGTTTGCTAGCACCATGATCTATACCTGTGGCTTTCCGTTACTGGTGGACATAGAGGTGACGGTCTTTATTATAGAGTGCCTTCACCTCTCCTCCACGCTGCCCTTCCTAGGCCAGTTAAAAACACTTGCTTGATAGACATGCAGATCACACGACTCACTCTCCTCTTTTACTGCTGGTTTAGTGACCCTGATGCCATCAGCTGAAAGAAGACCAGTCTCCCTGCCTGTGAGAGGCAGGCTGCCCTAGCATCCTTTCTGCGCGCTACAGCGAGGCCCCATGTTTCCCAAAACCAACCCCTTTAGCTTTGTACCTGTCACACAGCCCATTGCTCGCCTCTAGTATTTTCTGTATTCTCTCACGGGTGGGACCTGCAGGATCTCACTTTGACTTTCCTCTTCCAACATTCCTTGAATCTTTGATACTCTACACAGCTCCACGTGATGCTGTGTCATTCATTGCAATGTGTTGTCACTGGATGACTCTAGTGCTGGCCAGCCTTGCAGGAGCAGCACGCTTTTTCTAGAAATGCACTGTCCTATTTGGCCTTCTGAGGGATAGTTGCAACTAACCCTAAGATTTATGGACCAAGAGCCTACAGAGGAAAGAAGAGCCGTTTCCTGCCCCTTAGTCTGGTATTATGACAGTCCTTTCCTCAAAAGGAGGCCAAAAAGTATCAGTTCCTCTTAAATTGAATGAAAAGGCAGTTGTCAAACCCAGAAAATGGGCGGCTGGACTTGAGAACACGTTCAGTACTTGGAGCAGTTTTAGAACAAACTGACTGTAACTATAGACCCACATGTGCAACACTGGGAGACAGCAGGGAGGCAGCCGGACAGGATCCCTTGTGCAGAGACAGTCCTGCTAATTGCTGCTGGTTCTTAAGTCGGTCACCCTGCAGTGCACCTCTGCTGCGCTTATAGTATGTAGAAAGGCAAGAAGTGGAGACTAGGAAGGGCACCTGGTGTTAGAGGGCTGCTGCACTAGACTGCAGCTCCGCTGTGGTGTAGGTGCCAAATGACCACAGCGCTCCCTGACCTCTGCATTGTTGCCAAACAGTTTCCTGCCATTGTTTTCTCCACTGTGTTTCAGCATTAAGTTGTTCGTGGTTCCTGACGGGTTTTCCCCAGTGTCGAACACCCCAGAGAGCAAGCGTGGAGATGGAGAGCCACTGTATCACCCTCCTGACATAGTCCCGCTCTATGGTGTCTCAGTGAAGATGGCCCCACTCTTCCAGGAGTCTGGACACAAGTAAGGGCTAGACAAGCAGGATATGCCCTTCAATCAAGTTGGAGATGAGCTAGATTTGAGCTGTCAGCATTGCTGTCTGGGCAGTAGTGAAACAGGAAGTCAGGGAGACACCAGTATTAAAGGGAGTAGTGATGGGGGTTAAGGAGTCAGCTGTCTCCACTCTGTTTGTATCAAAGCAACGAATGGCTGAGGGGCTGACATCCCAGGTCACCAGAGACACTGGGGCCAGGGAGGGGAGGACAAAATTGTCTTGGATATATTCCAGATCAGGTAATTGCAGCCTGCTTGAATACCCCAGGATTTGCAACTGGACACTGGCTGCTTCCCCTTTGTTCTCCTCCGCTGCCGGACAGGCCGTTGTGGGCTGCTCAAACCTCTGCCACATGAAACTCTAGGGATGACATTCTGCACTTTAGCGCAGTGTGAAATACTCAGCCTGCAGAAAGGCAGCAGAGGTGACTCAAAAGATGCAAGCATTTACCCTGCCTCCAAAGCTGGGTTGCTTTGGGGTTGTGGAGCCGGGGCTGTTGTAGCAGCCTGTCCTGGGCTGTCTTATGGGCACCAGTACTTGTGCAGGATCCTCGCAGGGCTGTGGGTTCTCCCCCTCTCCAGAAAAGAGGCCACGGTTGCTTTCTTCAGAAGGTAAAAGTTGTCTTCAATACTTAAGGGAGGGGAATTCTTCCAGAACCTGGTCTTCTACTGACTTGTTTGTGGTGCTTTAGCTCTCTTTTACCTGGCATAAAAGAGCTGAGTGGGGGAAGAACGTACCCCAGAGAAGGTGGAATGCCCGCTCTGAACCAGTATCCCTTACCTGTGGGCTGTGGGTCACTTATTTGTAAAGAGCTTAATGCAAGCTGCTATAGGAGCACTGGATGCTAAGGTTGTTCTTTAAACATCTTATTTCTTCCTGCAACCAAAGAAAAGGCAGCATCCTCTCTAGCAGTGATGTGAGAAGCATCGTCATTGACTACGTAAAGACTAACGAGTTGGTTGATGAAACAAACAAAAAGTGAGTAGCCGCGAATGTTATACATGCATCGCATTTCCCAAGGGACTGAGTGGACTGGAAAAAGGAAAGTTAGCTAGTTTAAAAATCTAAGCAATAATTTAATTATTACCATTGTGCCTAGGATTCCTTCTCATGGCCCAAGGGCTTTTGCTGTGTTTGATGCCATTGAAAAGGCATCAAGACAGTCCCCTATTCCAAAGATCCTGTACTGAACAACTTACTGAACTATAGCACAGTGCACTGTGACTGTGTGCCTTGCTTCTAATGATTCTGTTTTCTTCCAGCTTTGTAAAGATCAATCCCATCTTGTGTGACTGCCTGTTGGATAAAGCAGAGCAAGACAGTATCTCAAAGCTCAAATGGGACGATCTCCTGAGCAGGTGACTGCCGTTGTGTGCTCTACTAAATATTAGCTGAAACTCAGCGTAGCACTTGATTCTGCCTTACATAATAGTCTAGTTTTATCCTAAATTACACAGTGGCTTCCTAATGGCTAGGGTAAAAGTACATCTTAACTTGTAGCACGTGCTTGGCCGATACCACAGAGAAACAGTGCAGGTCCCAGTCCTTCGTTTCACACTGTGCACCAAACATTACTGGAACATCCACCCCTTTTTCTTTTAACGCTCACTTGATAAACATTCACAGCAAAGCCTGGTAAGAAAATAGAACCTAATTCTGCCAATCTGAGCCGTACAAACATAAGCACAGAGAATGTAAATCCATCCTCTGCAACAAAGCTTCAAACTTTAGATCCTCGCCGTCTTCAAAAAAATGCACTCGGGAACTTAAAAGACCCTTCAAGACCCAAAGCCTGCATTTAACATGGAAACTCAGATTTAACAAATTGCTTTAATTTTATCTTGCCCAATATGTTACAAGGCAGTAACTGAGAGCTGTACAGATTCATAATGGACAATTCATTCCTCTCTTCCCAGCGTATTTGCCACATTAACGTTCTCTGAGTACTCCCTTTGAAGTTCAAATTTGATATATGCACATAAGCAAGAGAGCTGTAACAGGAGGTTCTAAACTCTCCCTTCTTTTCTCACTACTCCATTGTTTTCAACTGCTGAAAATCTTCCTGAATGGCTTCCATTTTCTTGCTTTCCGAGAACTTGCTTATCACAAAGTATTTTGGAGCAGTTCCAACAGTTTTGTTCAATTTCTCTCTATCAAGCCAAGCTTCATGGAGAACAGGATTTTAAATTGCATTTGCGTCACTGCTCTCCCTTTAACTATTGTTGTTCACTGTTCTGAGTTGGATTTTTTTTTTTTTCCTTCCAGAATATGCCTAGGTTCTTGTGCTTGTTCTGAGAGAGAACAGACATGTTTTTATCATCTGGTCCTTCCTCCCTTTTCTTTTTGATGTAGCTTGCTGGGAATTTTAGAGGCTTGTCTAAAACCAGAGTTCTGTACATGACAAATGCCTATACAAATAGCAAGTAGGTTCCTGGCCCATGAGGGAATACAGTGCGCCTGTAGCAGTATATAGGGCTGGTGATTTTTATCTGGCTTACTGCAGTGAAACCATTCTTATTTGCCAGAGACTGCAGTAATGGTCTGATTACGTATAAGCTGAACAAAATGGCATTAAAAAGCCTCTGCCTCAAGTGGGTGTTGCAGAGGTGGCTTTAAGGCACCTGTGTCCTCTGTCCCTGAAGTCTTGGATTGGAAGGGTAGCAGTGGGGCTGGGTAGACATGGACTAATCTGCAGTTTGCCTTTGATCTGTACAGATTGGATGCTTGTATAGAAAGAGCCCCATGCACTAGTTTACCAGCAGGGAGGGACATGGCTAATGTAGTGTCCCAGCCACGCTAGCAGATTGGACACTTCACTTGTTTTAATCAGGCCTCTCCCAGTACATGAATAGCTTGAGAACCTGGCAGCCTTGTTCATCCAATACAAGTACCAGGATAGGAGCCTCCATGGTATATGATCCCTAAGCAGTAAGAGAAGGGCTCACTGTACTAGAACTATGCAGAGAAGCCCTCTTGCTCTCACTGCATGTGACAGACTGGCCTTAACCCTTTTCAGGTGCCTGGTGCAACTGCAGCCCTTCCACCAGGTGACGTTTTTTGGACAAGAACCCATTGTGAGGAAAGGAAAAGGCTGCCCCATTGACATAACCATAGCTCAGAGGTCATCCAATAAAAAGGTAACAGCAGAAAGCCGGTAAGAACGGGGCTCAGAGCTGAGACCTGCATGCTAATGGCAGCTTGGGCTCAGACTCCTTTTGTCTCTGCTGAACATTTAAGTAGCTTGTCTGTCTGGAGACAGACCTGATACTACCTGCTCAGTGCTGCAGAGGATGGATCCTTTTTGGACCTGCCATCCATGCTGGGGGGTGTCAGCACTTCCAGGCTGTGCTTGTGTCCTGGGGTAGGACTTAAGCACACCCTTAGGAAGGTGAAGCAGAAGGGCATGGGTTATTACAGTAGTGTGGGCACTGGGCAAGGCAGCGCTTCCTGGCTTCAGTCCAGGAAGCAGTTTTATACCAAAACCACCTTCCTCCCAGACCTGCAGGTTAGGGCTCGAACAATGCCTGGAATGCAATTCAAGGTACACAGCCCTGGCACGGTGGCTCATGGACATGGCCTGGAGCTTCAAAACCTATCTTGTGATGTTTAACTACACACACACGAGGCGAGGGACCACAGCTGCTGCTTGTACCCAATGGCACTTTTTCCTGCTGCCTGTAGAGGTTTAAACTGGGACTGTTTGCAAGGCAGGGATGGGAATGCTGTCCTTCAGCCCATGATGCAACACTTATGGGGAAAGCTTGAATGCCCAGGTCTGGCCAGCTAACTGCCTGGCAGAAGGGGTGCTTTATAACCCCCAAAGTAATCATCCTTCTGTGCCTATCCCACAGGTGACAATTATTAAGAACCTTGAGCTGTATGGCCTGGAGCCCCAATCTGTTGCCACCACTCTGCAGCAAAGAGTCCAGGCCAGCGCCACTATTAGCCCACTGCCTGAGGCCAAGGATCGTGTGCAGGTCCAGATCCAAGGCAACCAGATCCACCATCTTGCCAAGCTGCTGCTAGGTGAGTTCACACAGAGCCCAGGTCTTTATCGGTTACAAACTGGGAGGTGTTCTGATGATACCCGGCTCTGGTGCAAAGCTGACACGGACGCTTGTTTCTGTTGCAGAAGAATACCGGCTACCTCGGAAGTACGTGCAAGGTCTAGAGAAGGCTCCGAAGCTTGGCCGGAAGAAGTAAAACGCCTCTTGTAAGAAATATTCCCATCTCCTTATTTATACACGGTTCTGCCTACCCAAGGGAGATACTGGACCCTTTCATTCAAAGGGGAGTCTTGCTAATGACTGCAGCAGGGCCAGAGTTGCACCCAAAGATTACAATTGCTTTAGCTGTTCATTTTTAATAAAAATGAAAAAGCACTGAAAAGCCTTACCATGGTCCTCCTCCTGGTATTGACTAACTGTCCAGCTGTTCCCCATGTGACTGGTTCCAGTGCCTTTTCAGTTCACGGTTTTGTAGCAGTGCAGTGGGCGTGTTTGCTTCTTTGAGAGCCCTGTTTGGACTGGATATAGTGTAAGGCCATGCTGTAGACATACTCCGTTAGCAGGGGGAAAGAAGAAGGTGCTTCCAGGATGGGGGCAGAGATGACAGTAGCAGGGGTAAATACCCTGCGGTGCAGGAGAACCCTCCAAACAGCCAGACCTGAGCAGGCAGGAGGGCTAGAGGAGTGCAGAGGGTACCAGAGGTCCTGCTGGCTACAAGTGGACTGCAGCAGCCTGTGTGATCCCAGACCGCACAAAGTTCATCCGCCATGCCTACGAACAAGCAGACAGCCAGTACGGTCTGAGGTAGGAGACATCAACCTTACACCAACCCAGGAGGTAAGCGATGCTGGCCTGGGATCAGAACAGTTCTGAGGGGCAGAGGGGTGTTTACGAGTAACCTCCCAGAGTGGGGTTACCTGGTGGAGTATAAAAGACCATTTGAGAAGGGAAACTGGGAGTATTACATTTGTAAAACTGTGCAGAGACTTGGGGGAGACCTAGCGGCCAAGCATAAAGATAAAGAGACTGCCCTGAAAATAGTGGAGGTCATAAACTCTTTGAACCTCAGAGGGAAGACTCAGCTGGGGAATGATCAGGAAGTCCTCAAGGGCAGTAGGATTAGTGATGGGAGGTCCCTGAAGCCTTGAAGTCCCCAGAACACACCAGGGGTAGCAAGGCAGGTAGATTAGGACTCTGCTAGGAAAACCCCTAGGTAAGAGATGGAAAAATCTGTGCCTTTTGGCTTGGAGTGAAGATTAGGCAAAGACTGAGCATCCCATGCCCTCCCTTTGCCTTTCTGCTGTTAATAAGAGGGTGAGAGCGGCTCAGTAACTACACCTGTGGTCGTGGCTGAGGGAATGTCAGAGCCCCAAGATGAGACACCGAGACCCATGCCAGGGAGCGAGCACAGGCGAACCCAGCGGGGGAGTGTAAAGGGAGGTGTGTAGCAGTGCACCGGGTGTGCCTGCTTCGTTACGTTGCTGTTTAGATCAGCAGTTTGGCTTGGGACTATAAGGGGTGGTTAAGGAGGTTCCATTAGTGCCAGGGAGGGGGGCGGGGGGTGCACGCAATAGCCTCGAGACCTGCTCAAGGCCTGAGCAGCTGTCAAGTCTAGAGAGG